CACGGAGCTCGCCCAGGGCCCTGGAGATGGCCGGGGGCCGACAGTGGAGGCTGCAGAGTCTGGGCCAGGTACAGGGCCCTGAACCTGGTGTCCACGGAGTTCCCTGGCCACCAGGATGATGCCTGCTCACCCCCAAGACAGGAAACCTTGCCAATCTCCAAGAATGACTGCCAGGGGCACCCCATTGTCCCATGGAACCTCAACCGTGGAGCCTCCAGCCATTTCCCCCGTCAAACCCGAGCTGATCTGGGAATTCCCACCACAGGAGGATGAAGGTCCCYCTTCTGTGGTCCCCAGAGTCCCATCGAGAGGGCAAGGGGTGTGCCATGGTCCCACTCTGTCTTGTGGGAGCAGCAGCCCTGACCCGGCTGCTCTGTGGGGAGGGGTCCTCCGGCCCCTCCCRTGGCTGCCCCTTCCCCCCTCTCAGTCCCCTCACCAGGCCGCTGGCCAGAAGCCTCAGCCTCTCCCTTCCCCTGCTTGGTATGACAGCCTGGGGAGGGGGTGGCAAGGAGCCTGGGGCCAGCTCAGGGAGCGCTGGGGTGGAGCCTGCAGCCAGCCCRTGGGGCTGCCCTGCCAGGGCTCTGCCATCCCGGGTCACACCGGCCACCACCCCTGTGCCCAGAACGGGAGCAGGCAGAGGTGCTGGGCCAGCTGCAGCCTGGGGGCGGTCAGGCTGCCACAGGTGCAGAGGGAGGCTGGTCCGGGCCAGGCCTCAGGTCAGGGCCCGGGGAGAGTGCCAGGCCACAGTGGGCATTGCTGTACCGCAGGGATGGGGGCTGCTCATGCAGGTTCTGGGGGCTCACGCAGGCAGCTGCAGGATGGCTGGCATGAAAGCCCACCTAGTGGTCCAGCCCCACAGGGGCATCCCAGAGCAGCACCAGGGACTCGTCCAGGTGCTCAGGCCCTGCCCGCACCACCAGGCCAGGCGGCAGTGGGCAGAGGGTGAGGGGAGCCCAGGGGAAGTCATGAGGTTTTGGAGAGGGTGGCTCTGGGAGAGACTCCGTCTGGGCTCTGGCAGTGCTGGCCGGAGTGGGAGCTTGCTGTGGAAGGCAGACTCCTGGATGGGGCGGTCCCCAGGATGGCAAGACTCACTGTCCCTGCGCTGCCTTGGTCCCCACAGGGTCTTTATTCTGTCAAGCCCCCCGCGCCTGGGTGTCTGCACACACAAGGCCCTGGCGAGGGGCCGAGCTCCCTGGGCAGTGCTCAGCTGGGCGCCGCTGTCCTGCACCTCCTGGAGCCTCGTCCGTAGGATCTGATTTGCTCCCCGGGGGAGAGGAGGTGACTGCAGGATCCAGGGCGGGTTGGGAGCACCTAGAAGCCCGTGCTGGGGGCAGCCGACCGCCCGGGGGAGAGCTGGGCGTCAGAAGCCCCGTGTCTGTGTGGGGAAGGGCTCTCGGGGCTGATGGGCCTGCTGACCACTGTCTGTCTGGGAGGCCGCCATCTGCAGGGCRGTCTCTAGCTCTGAGGCACCTGGTGAAGGTTCGCAGACTCTCAACTTCCTGTGAACCTACCATTATTGCAAAATTTTGAAAATAAGCCCMTTTTATTGTTTTTCCTGACTTCCCTGCCACAAATCATCATAAAATTATTTTTAAAATGAAGAGTGGGAAGTGCATCAAGCCAGAGCTCTGCCTGGGCGGGCACAGGGGCTTTCCTGTCACAAAGGAAAAATCAAAAGGCCTGGGAACATGGCCCAGAGGCCCAGTGCCCTGCTTCCGAGCAGAACCACTCTGAACTCAGGGGGAGGCCACACCACTCATGCAAGGGAGGTGACCTCACGTGTCTTTCAGGGCTCACGACCAAACCTCCCACAGCCTCCAGGACACTCAGGGTGCGGAAGACCCGGACACCCCCAACCCAGGCAGAGTCCAGGCTGGCCCAGGCAGGGGACCAGCACCCCGACCAGGACCGGCTCCCGGGTCCCTCTGCGAGGCCTAGCCACATGCCCTGTGTCCAGCAGCCCTCCTGGTACTACTGCCCAAGACCTGATGGGCTACCCTGCACCTGGCCTGTCTGCATCCCTGGGGGCCAGGGCCAGGGAGGAGCCCACCACACACCTGAGCAGGCGGCCTGGCCTGACGACTGCTCCTGAGCCTAGACCTAGTCTTGCTGGCTTTGACCTCTCAGAATGGCCTGTGCCCCGAGTGGCAGGGACCTTGAGGCCAGCCTGCCTGGCCAGGAGACTCCCGTGTCCCCTGAACCCTGGCCTTGGGGGAACCTAACTGGACAAGATCCAGCCAGTGTGGTGGTCACCCCAACTCCCACCGTGGCCTCGGCAGGACCAGGCCCTACGGGCAATGGCCTCACACCAAGACTTGGGGTAGCTCTGGTCCCAGAGCCTGGCACACCCTGCTGGCTGGGCTCTGAGGGGCCCAGACCCCAAATGCTGTGAGGGGCAGTGCCATGGTCTAGCACGAACCTGGCACCTACAGGTGAGGGCACCTGGGGCGGCTCAGAAGTGGGTGGGCTCCAAAGACAGCACCCCTGGCACCGCACCCCACAAATCTCTCCCCACCCTGCCCCTTCCACCCCAAGAAGCCAGCCCCTCCCTGCTGGCCACTGGGCAGCAGATGCCGTCTCTGGACTGTGCCGAAGAGCTGCCCCTGGGACCCCCCAACAGACCTGACACAAAGCCACAGCTGAGACACGGGGGTGTGTTGCGTAGAGCCACGTTTATTTCTTAGTCGGACACAGCCGTGATGCACACACACAGTACAGGGGCCTAGAGCTAACACTCGGGTAAGACACGGGGAGAGTYGCTACGTCGGGTAGTGGAGATGACACAGGGTCCCACAGCAATCACATATGTACAAGCCAGGGACGCAGCCTCCAAGCTGCAGGGGCACTCAGAACAGACCAACTACAGGAAGCACAACCCGGGGAGAGACGGGGCCGTCACAGCCTCTGTCCAACCTGGGCTGCAGGGGTAAAGGAGGAGGCCTTCTGGGGCCCCAGACCTGGCCGAGCTGGCACGGGACCAGCACCACAACCTGCTCACGGTCGACCTTGGCCACGTTCAGGACCCCCAGGTGCCCCGGGCTCCAGGGACCAGGATGGATGTGGAAGGCCACTCTCGGCAGCTAGGCTGGCAGGACCACTTGGCAGGAGGACTTGGGCTTCTCCACCTCAGGACCCCAGGAGCCGGCATCCCCCAGGCCAGAGCAAGGCCAGAGCCGGGCAGTAGGAAGCCTCAGAACAAAACCACCAGGAGAGACGGCTGTCTCAACCTCTCGCCTCYGTACCAGCAAGAAATGGGGGCCACAGCCAGCCCAGGCGCTCCCCTCCGCCTCACAGGACGGGGAGCCCCCAAGGGTCTCTCCAGGGCACAGATGTGGACACAGCATTCCAGGGGTGGGGGCCACTGTCCTCAGCTGGCTGGGCACGGGGGGTGGGTTTCGGGCAGGGTGGGCAAACAGAAACCAGGCTTCCCACCTTGTGGACGCACTGCCCTTGGCATCTCCTCCTGTTTCTGCAGACTGACTCTGGACAGCCCACAGGGCAGGGGCCCATCTCAGTGCCCGCCCATGGCAAAATGGCACCGCCCAGGCCTTCATGGGGCGGGGGGTCTTCCGAATGCAGAGGGCTCCAGGCTCCGGCCTTTCCCTCAGCCTGACCCCAGGCAGCAGGTGCTCTGCAGGTTGGCTGGCCTCAGACACCCGCTGGTGGGCGGCCAGACCTTCCCGAGGCCACGGCTTCAGGCTGGCTGACCTGAGTGGCCGTGGTGGGCCTGGCCCCTAGCCTGCTGTGAAGGGTGTGGCCTTGAAATCCAACTCAACTCAGAGCAGGGTGCTCTGTCCCACCCTCCCTGCCTCGAGGGGGTCACGGGTACCAGAGTCAGTGCCATCTGGATGCTGGGTCCCAGCCCACTGCCCCCAMGGTCCACAGGGCTGTCACCTGGTTTCTGCACAAGGTTTACTTCCRTCTGGGACGGCACTGTCCTCAAGGACCCTCTAGAGAAAGCGCTGCGTGGCCCACACTGCACAGCTGTGGTCTCCTAAGACCTGGCGCTCCGACAGAGGCCCGGGCCTGGGGACGAGGCAGCCACCCCTGCTGCACTAAGCCCGGTGGACGAGGCAGCCACCCCTGCTGCACTGAGCCCGGTGGCAGGACGAGCTCCCCGTCTGAGCTCGCATCTGGTCCTGTGCTGGCCGCAGCTCAGATCCTGCTTCCACAGTACCACTCACCCTGAGCCTGCGGTCGGGGTGAGGGTCCAGAGGCCTGGACGCTTTCCCCAAGGAAAACCTGAACCTGTTTGGCAGCATGAAAGAGGCCCACGCGCCTAGTCTCTTCCTCCCAGAGTGGCTGGAGCTCACGGGTCAGGGTAGTGCCGTCCAGGGACCACCTGGGCTGATGGGGAACCTCCGACCCCCGGCTCATCTGAACCAAGCAGCAGGAGCTGGCCAGGGGTGGAAGGTGCCCAGCCCACAGCAGCCTGGTCCAGGGGGGTTAGGGTTAGGGGCTTGCAGTTTGGTTTCTGTTTTTCCTAATGGGCCTGTGAGTCAGAAGAACCCTGGACAGCCAAGACAGCCTGGTATCTGCCCTCACCCACCTGCCAAGACCTGCCCCGTGCACGGAGTCTGCTCCCTGGGTGGAGAGGAGGGTGGGYGTGGGGAGCTTCCAGAGCAGCCTGGTGCTCTGCGTCCTCACAGCACCAGGGAGGCCCTGGAGGCCGGGACCCACACCCTGAATGCTGACCTGGCCTGCTGCCCGAGAGCCCTGTGTCTGAACCCAGCCACCGGCCCCGACAGTCTGGACACAACTGGTGACTGGTGAGCCTGGGCGCCCTGGACACCCTGGCCTCCTCCCTCCTGGCCCTCCGGGCCTCCTCCTGGTCTCCAGGGTCTCATCTCAGGTCCGCTYACCCTCTCAATCCTGCTGGCACCACCTTAGCACCTTAGCACCTGGAGACCCCACACACCTGGAGGAGGCTCAGAGAAACCTGGCTCAGGTGTGCCTGTGTGCCAAYCGAGGGTCCCACGTCCAAACTCCTCTTCCCTCGCTCTGCCCCTAAGGCTGGAGACGCAGAGGGAACAAACAGGGAGGGTGGCCGCTGGGTCTTACAGGTCTACTCGGAGGCATTAGAAATAAATACTCATAAATAGAACACAGTTATAGTTAAATTCTCAGGACTGTCTCCACGTCACTAACTACTGTATATTAATTATAAGTCTGTCTATGCTTAAAAAAATATTAGAATGGCGGCAACACGGGGTCTTGTGCCCTCTGGCCTCCCTCAGATCCCCAGCTCTCCCCACCCAGGGGCTGAGGAAGAAGAAAGAAGGACTCGTGCAGGCTTCCCTGGGGCACAGCTGGCTCTCGGCCCAGGCCYGGCACCCCCTGGCAGGGCAGGCTGGGCAGACAGGACAGACGGGATGGGGCGAGGGACAGCCGGGTGCTGGCTGGTGGGAGGCTCTGGCTCAGACCCTCATCTGTGCAGACCTCCTCCTGGAGAGCTTGGACCTGAGAGGGAGGAGAAAGGGGTGTCACGCTGGGACTGAGCCCCGGCCGCGTCCGTCAAGCCCCCGGCGTCAGGGCAGGCCCAGGACCAGACGCTCAGGCCCTGGCACTGGGCGGGTGAGGCCTGGTGCTGCCTCCKCCCTCCCCACACCCACCAGGCCCCTGTCTGTGACACAGGGGGCCCGGGTCCCCCAGCCTGACGGTGTGCGCACACCGCCACCCATCAAGGCCCACCCAGTGAGTGCAGGCCCACYCCCTCAGGACCCCCACAGGATCCAGAAGCAGCTCGGCCCTGCCTCGCGCCCTAGAGGTGCTGGATGGCGGGGCCCGGGCACAGCCGTACCGGATGGTCCCCGCCAGGAGGGGGTTGAAGGCGTACAGCCAGTCATGCATGTCCTTGTCACTGTTGGCCTGCAGCAGGATGCCCCGGTGCTCTGTGCACACCGCAAACGTGTTGGGCGTCTGCAAAGGAGGCTGGGTAAGAAGGAGCCGGCCGGCACCCACCACTCCTGAGAAGGAACCTGGGGTGGGGCTCGGGGAGCCGCAGGCCAAACCACGTGGGGAGGCAGGGCGACCCCTCTGCAGGGCACATGGCCTGTCCCGACCCGAGGTGCTACGGCTCCCGTCCAGAAGCCTCTGGGGTCAGGAAGCYCTGTCCTGGGCCTGGGCCCCACCCTGCTCTGCACCCCAGGGGAAGCGTCTGCCCCTCCCGGGGCCGTGGCGGAGTGGCCCTGCTGGCCTGGTGCAGGGTGTGGGCGGTGGACAGAGGAGGCCACTCGGCAGCTCCTGGGCTCCGAGGACTTCTCTCCCCACTCGGCCCCAGGGAGCCTGCTCCTGTGTCCAGAAGGTCACACTCGGGGAGGGCGGGAGCCACTGCCACAGGTTCCCCAGGAGGACAGGACGGGCCGCTGGCCCTATCTGCCCTGCCCTGGGACCACACTCATCACCCACAGTGGTCACCAGGACTGAGCTGCAGCAGGGCTGAGCCCCAGGTCCCATCTCTGCACAGGACACAGAGCCGCAGCCTGGGCAGGGCACAGAGGCGCCACCCACCCCATGTGGGGCACAGAGGCCTGGCCCAGTTCCCCCTCACTGTCCCGCCCCGTGGGGGTCCCAGGCCCGGGGACCGGGCGCACCTTGAGCATGGCCTGCTGGTCCTCGCTGTACTCCACCTGGGCCGTGGAGAGGTTGAGCACAAACCTCTCCACCGTGTCCTTGTCACTGTTGTACATGTAGGCGTAGGGGCGGCGGACCACCACGAAGCGCTTGGCCCAGCCGGCTGTGTGCGGCTCCAGGAAGTGCAGGTACCCCTTCTTGGACACGATCGGGCTGTGGGGCAGGACACCTGCTGGCTCACATCCCGGCGGCCAGGTGTGGTGTGGGCCAAGGCGAAGTCACGGCCCCCACCCAGAGCCAGGCCCRCAGTACCGGTCACTGCCCAGGAGGAAGCGGGCCAGAGGCCGGAGACCAGACCCACTAGCCCACCTCTGGCCCGTTTCTGCGGGCTCAGAGGACATCCCAGCTGGGGATGGCGAGACTTGAAGAGCAGACACAGCCCTGAAGCTGCCGACCACTGTCCGGTGACACGAGGCCCCGCTCTGGCTGGGACCCCGGCTCCCCGTCTGCGTGTTCCCACAGCAGCACCAGGACCATCGGGGTGGGGTGACCCCTCTAGAGCCAAGTGGTCCCCAGTCTGGGTCAAGGGGTCTGCCTGACCTGGTTCAGAACTGTCCTGCATGTGGGTGAGGGTGTGTGCCTGAGGCCTGGCCCCTGGCTCTGCCCTGTGCTTGGGTCAGGGGCACTGCCTGCTGGTGGGCAGCTTCATGGGGGGCCCTACATACCTGACTCGGATTTCCTGGATGTCGGGGACCAGCAGGCGCTGGGGCTCCTTATCGGCCTCTGTGGCCCGCGCAGGGGACAGGGGCTTCTTGGAGTCTGCCTCTGGCACTGGCTCCGGCTCTGGGCTGGCTGGCCGGGAGCAGGGCTGYGGCGGGGTCCTGGAGAGCAGGGAGACAGACTGTCTGCTGTCTCGCCAGGCCCACGCCTGTCTCCTGGGCCCATCCCCTCAGAGGGACCCAGGGGACAACGGGAGCCAGGAGCCTGTCTCAGAGGTGTGGGGTCGAGACCCTCTCCCCTCCCTTTTTTTTTGGTAAAGGAAACCTGGGAACCCAGAGGCGTTTCAAACAGGAGTCAAACTCCCTTGAATCCGCCCGCCATCAGTGGAGTGAGCCGGGCAGGGGCTCCTCCCGGACGCTGTGCCGCAGGCTGGCTRGCAGTGCTCAGGGTGCCCGGGCACACGGTCCCTAGGCTGTGCCAGGCGGCTCTCCCCACGAGCACTTCCTGAGCTCTGTCCTGACTCCCTTGTGCATGTGCTTTGGTACGTGCGCTTGGAGGCATGTGGAGCCCAGCCACACAGGGGGCACCAGGCACCCCTGAGAGGCCACCAGGCCCTCTCCACCAGGCCCTGCCCTCACCTGTGGCACCCCAGGCCCTCCGTCACCCCTGCCCACTTTCTCTGTCCTTAGGCCCCTGAGTCCCAGCTTGGGGTACGGAAGCTTCTCCAGGAGCCCGGGGCTCGCTCACCGCATGTCGGGGGTACCGTAGCGACCTTCAACCAGAGAGGGGCAGGTGGAGGACGGGGTGAGCGTGGCTGCTCCCAGAGGCGACATGGACGGGTCCCGCAGCAGGGTGACGGACATCTCAGAGAGCTGAGGGAGAGAAGCCCTCCTCAGGGCCTCTGGGCCTTCTGGCGGCATCCACCTCCCRATTCGCCCCAGCCTCAGCTCAGGTGCCCCCTGCCCTGGAGACCCCCCTCTCCCAGCCCCTCACACCCCTGCCTGCCCCTCCCAGAGCTTCAGATCTGCGCTGACCTAGGTGGGTTCCAGGTGTGGGGCCAGCTCCAGGTGCCCCCTCCACAGCTCTGTGGCATGTGGCCAGCAGGAGGCTGCTGGGTGGAGGCCGTGGGCCAGGCAGAGCCTCGCCTGAGACTGGTGCCGGGCAGCCTGGGGAGGCTGCGGGAGGGAGGCACCAGACCAGCCTCGCTTGGGAGGGGACTGAGGCTGCAGGATGAGCATCCCGAGAGGAAGGAGCCCAGTCACAGGGATGGGAAGACAGCCGGGGCCAGGAGGGGCGGGGAGGACTCACGGGACCCCCGGCCTGGGAGGCCTGCTGCTCAGCTAGGAGGTGCCCCTCCGAAAACCCTTCATGACTTTGCCTGACCAGGATGGGACTTCTTGGTGACAAGGGCCCCACAGGTGGCCCCGGGACCCCACCCACCTTGCTCTCGCTGGCACTGATGCAGACATGGCTGTGGGTGTACTCTCTGTTGAACGTGTGCGTGAGCAGACGTAAGCACTGTGGGCAGAGAGCACGCACTGTCAGGCCACACGTGGGCAGACGGGCGAGCCCCAGCATGGCCGGTCAGGTGGGTGCCGACACCGCCCCGGGGACAGGTGAGCCAGGGAGAGTCTCACAATGTGCAGGAGACCTGCCACTGGTCCATGCAACCACAGACGGTCCAGCTGCATGGAGCCGTGCGCTCCTCACCAGCTCGGGGGTTCCCAGAGGGCAGGTCGCTGCTGGGGTCCCAGGCAGCAAAAGGCCCCCAGCCGACTCCCCTGCTCCCGARTGCGATGGGCGCGGCTAGAGGGGGCTCAGGGTCCGTCACCCTCCCCGCTCCTGGACTCTGACTGGGGCCAGCCCCAGGGATGGGCCTGGGTGCCACCGCGGGCTCCACCTACCTTGACTGCCAGCTCCCGCTGCCTCTCACTGGGTGCCTCCAGGGGCGACTGTCGGCCCTCGGCGGACAGTGGGGAGGAGGCGCCAGAGGAGCTTCGMGACTCACAGTCCTCACTGGAGACGGGGGACAGCACCTCAGGGCCGGGCCGCTGGGTGGTCTCTAGTTTCTCCCGCAGGAGCAGGTAGTGACGGGTCTTCTCCACCTTCAGCAGGAACACGGGACTCAGCGGCCGCACCCGTGAGGGGCAAGGCCAGCCCAGGCGGCACCACTGAGCAGCAGGCTCTCTGGTCAGCCCGAGAGGGTCTGGCCCTGGCTGGGCCCTGGCTGGGGGCCCTCCACGGGAACTGAGCAGGCAGACTCCAGGGCCACAAGGCCTGGGGGACTCAGCCCCTCCCAGGCTGCCCTCCCTGTCCACGGCCTCCTGGCCACAGTGCATGGGCCAGCMGGGAGCTGTGGACACGTGCATTCCCTCCCTGGGTTCTAGGGTGGAGGGTGCCACTCTGCAGTGTTGGTGCCTTGGGAAAGGACAGAAGGCTGGCTGGGGCATGGGGCTTCAGTCTCCCCACGGACATGCCACACTGGACAGCCCACGCTGGCTTTGGAGGTGGTGCCCCTGCCCAGAGCCACAGACGCCAGACCCWGTATCCTCCCTGGACTTGTGTCTCATCCCTGTTGGAACACCCCACGTCTCCCGAGTCAGCTTGAGGGGCAGGTGCTCCGGGTGGTTCACTCTGGGGACAGGGCCATGGTGCCGCTGGCCTGGGTGGACCCGGAGCTCACCTCCTGCAGGAGGCTCAGCTTCTCCAGCTCCCACTGGTGGTCCAGGATCAGACTGTCACTCCGGGGCCGCCAGCCGGCCAGGTTCTCCTCACCCCGGACATAGGCCACCGAGGTGTCCAGCACCCGCCGGCGCCGCCGCTGCATCCCTGGCCGAGAACAGGCACTCTGTCCTTCCAGAGGGCTGCCAGGTTCTCCCACCCACCAGGGAGTCCCAGCCGCTGAAACCCCTCCCTTCAGGGATCAAGGTCAGCTTCCAAGGTCAGCAGTGAGGCCCTGGGGTTGAGACCGGGCAGCCGCAGGGCCAGCTCACCCCACTCTCTCCATCTGAGAATGACCCCAGAGGGGTCAGGGCACTTGCATTTTGCAGGTWAGGGACCCCGGCTGAGCTAAGGTCACAAGTGGAGCAGAGACCCAGCAGCCCAGTGATCCCAGGAGCCTGCCTCGGCCCACAGAAGAGCAGGGTGGGGGCCTACCTGGACTGCCGGCGTCCGCCACGTGGCACAGGCTGAGCTCGTACACGCCAGTCACTCGGTTGCTATGGTGGGGGGGGGTATGGTCACCAGGATGGGGACAGGCAGGCTGATAGACAGCTGACCCTCAGTACCTATGACCACATCATCTAGGTGCCTGTCACGGGTGCCTAGGCAGTTCCACCCCAGACTTCTTCCTGACCCCCAAGCTTGCTCTGGCTGTGCCCACAGGGGCCTGGACACTGGGTACATGAAGCAGACCATAGGAACACCCACCAAAGGYGACCACAGGCCTGCAGGGTCAGCAGCCCCAGCCCTGCAGAGGACAGCCCTTCTCACTGCCCTGATGTCCTGGCTCGTCCTCCTCCCCCAGGACGCAGGAAGTGCTGAGTGCAAGCAAGGTCCTGCCTGAGCCGATGCCCTCGGGCACTGCAGCCTCCCAGAGGACCCGCTTGGCCACGTCCTGCTCCAAGTCCTGTCCAGGGGCCCCCTTCCCGCCTGTTGCCCCTCCTGCGTAGCAGGCAGTCCCAGCAGTGCAGACCCTGTGSTCCCGGGAGCAAGGGCACTGGCTACCCACCGGCCAGGTTGGCCAGGTTCTCTCCGGCCCCTCCCAGGGGGCCAGGGCCAGCAGGGAGTTGGCCGGGAGCGTGCTGTGCTTGCGACCTTCTGAACACGAGTCCCATGAGTATCAGACCACAGGGGACACCAGGGGCATTCTGCAGAGTTTAGGGTGGCTCTCACCGCACCAGGAGGCAGACGAGGCAGCTCCCCTGCCCGCCCCCGTAGGCTCACCCCTCTGAGGCCCTCAGGCTCCCGCTGCCGAACAGGTTTCGGATGGAGCGTGAGGCCGGCAGCTTGGCGTCGCGGGAGTAGAAGACCATGCAGAAGTCCTTGGTGATGACGGCGGGCTGGGTGCAGCTCTCCATCTGCAGCGGGCAACAGCGGACTGGGCACAGGGACCCTGGGAGGACCTGCTGCTGCCCTGAGCCACGGCRGGGGAGGGAGCCAGGCCTGCCCACTTCACTGCTGGGTGGGGCTGGCCCTGAACCTCAGTGAGCCTCACAGCAGACCTGGCTGGACCCACGTTTTAACTCTGAAATGCCACAGGACGTCACTTCACAGCAGGTGACAGGCCTGGGTACCTGCCCTGTGCCCTGTGCCCTGTGCCCGCGGGGCACAGCCTCCACTGTTCTCAGGCCGACCTTGCTACCACCCATGAGGTGGTCACAGACAGCCCCACTTATACCTGCCCCTCCCTCTCCCAGCCCCCAGCTGGGCGTCAAGGAGAGGCCTGTTGGCCGAAGACCCTGCAGCAGGGCAGCGCAAGTGGGRCACTCCTGGTTTTGAGCCCCTGGAACACAACTGCACCGTCATCTCAAGGACAAAACCCACCGCCGTGGACACCGGAGGGGATCAGCTGTGAGCAGGGCCATCAAAAGCACCTGGGTTCAACTCAGGCCTTGGGCTGTCCTCTGAGAACGGGGCCAGCTGGGATGGTCCAGGGCTCACAAGCACCCCCAGAGCCCCCTGCCTGCACCCCAGCTTTGGGGAGTGCCCTTGCCTCAATGTAGGCGGACAGGGTCATGTAGATCTTCTCCCTGTAGGGCGTGACGCGGTTCAGCAGGAGGGAGTTGTGCATGGAGCTGTCCCAGGCRGCCTCAAACTGGTAGAAGGTCCTGGAAGGAAGCAGAAGAAAGGCCACAGATAATGGTGCAGGGTTCCTGGTGGGGTGCAGACATGCAGACAGACAGGTGCAACAAGGGCAGGGAGAGCCGCTGCAGTCAGAGGTCCGGGAGCCCAGGCAGCAATGGCGGGGGGACAGGCCCTCCTTACTCAAGTCAGAGGCTGAGCAGCAGCTCCTGTGTGGCCATCCCTGGCCCCCTCAGCTCCAAGTGAGTGCATGAGAGGAGGGAGGAGAAGGAGGGAGGTGGGAAGGGAGCTAGATGGTGAGCCAGAAAGGACAGGGGAGGAGGGAGGAGGGGAGGAGGGGAGGGAGAAGGAGGAGGGGAGGAGGAGAGGAGGGAGGACAGGAGGAGGGAGGAGGGGAGGACAGGAGGAGGGAGGAGGGGAGGACAGGAGGAGGAAGGAGGGGAGGACAGGAGGAGAGGGAGGGGAGGATGGGAGGAGGGAGGAGGGGAGGGCTAGGGAGGAAGGAAGGACAGGAGGAGGGAGGAGGGGAGGAGGGAGGGGCAGAAGCCTGGGCCATCACAGCCTCATTCTGAGTAAGGAGCTGCCCTGGCCCTCCCTGGCCTGAAGGACGGTGCCCGGTTGCCCAGACCTCCAGGACCATCTCCCCACGGGGGACTCGCCCTCCACCAGGGCTCCAGGGAGGATGCTTGGAGTGGGAACCAGGAGGCCGGTGGCAGCAGCGCCTTGTGAGGTGGCACAGGAGTGGACAGGGACTCTGCTCTGTCCCTGCTCTCTAATCTGGAGACGATGAGTAGCACGTCTGCCAGCRGCCCCCAGGCCCTGCCCAGGGCAGCTCAGGGCAGCCCCAGGAGGCCAGACTCTGTGACCCCCACSGGGTCCCACCCTGCTCTGTGACCCTCGGAGTTTGCATCCAGCAACTTCTGCTCGCAGATGGGAGCCCTCCTAGGCCAGGTGCCCATCTGGGGAAGGGCACCTCAGTCCCACGGCCACCCACGCGGCCCCTTCCCACACCAGCACCCTCACAGGGCCTGTGCAGACACACTGACAGACAGCGGGCAGCAGCACACGCTCTGACACGCCAGGCCCGACGTGCCACACTGCCCCGTCTCCTGGACAGTTGGCCTGGGTGCAGGACACAGGAGTCTCAAGGGTGAGGTCCAGGGCAGGGCTGCCGTTGGCACACAGAGCCAGGGAGAGGTCCAGGGGAAATGGGGACAGTGGGCAACCAGGAGGGGGCACAGAGCAGGCAGACATGGAGGAGAAACGGAGTGGTCAGGGCCAAGGGGACAGCAAGCAYGGGAGGAAGAGAAGAGTGGGCTGTACCTAGTGTCATTCCCGAAGGAAAGGCTGAGGGGCACCAGACACACGCACACACAGGAGAGAGCGAGAATCAGACGTCACCCCGCTTGGCCGCCTCACCGCCCCTGCGGCCCCAGCCTGGCCYGGCAGAGGCCCTGCCCCAGCCCTGCAGCAGAGCCCAGGGGGTCCCCAGCTGGACTAGAGGTCAGGGCCCTCTGCGGCCAGGCTGCAGGCCAGAGCTGGCGTCCAGCACAGCCTGACTCAGAATGAGGGCCTGCAAACTGCCCACCTCAAGTGCCACAGAGCCACCCCAGGCCACGTGGCCTCTGAGTTCACCAGCGTGTCTCTACCCTGGGCTTATCTGCATGACAGGTCAGTGACGACCCCACTCCACCCAGGTGTCCTCAGATGCAGCAAGCGAGTGTGTGACCAAGGAAAGAAGAGGGGCTGACTCCAGCACACGTACTGCCACTGTCCTCGCTCTGTGCCTGGGTCAGACCCATGGGCCACCAGCCCAGTCTCCTGCTGGGCCCAACCAACTGACCCTGGGTCCACCTGCCTTGAGAGGCACTGAGCTCCCCGGCCAGCTTCTCTGCTGCCAGTCTCTGCATGGCCACTGCCCTAGCCGCCCAGCTCCTTAGGAGCCTTGTGCCCGCCTTGTCCCGGGGCCCTGGCCCTCCACCCTGAGCAGGTCACACCACAGCAATGAGCTTCATCRTGTCAGCTGGAGCCACTTCTGGGGACAGGGTGGACTCTGCCAGGGGCCTGGGTGGAGGATCCCCCCGTCCAGGTTCGGGGCCGCGAGCAGCTCAGACTGCAGCCAGCCAGACACTCGGGAGCTGACTCGGGGTCTCCACAGCTGTGGGCCTTGGAGGGGTCTCTACCTGACCATGTCCACAGCCAGGACTGGGTCTTCCCAGACGACTGCACCATCCCCCAGTACCCAGATGGTCAGCTGGACCAAGGTCCAACACGGACACAGCCATGATGCTRCCCACTGGTGACTTCCAAACTGGTGGTCGGCCCTGGGCCTCGGAGGCCATCTGCTCTGCTCTGGAGGAACGGCACACAGGCCCTCTCAACCAGCCACGGCTCCCGAGTCCCAGGCAGCAARCCCTGGAACACCAGCAGCGAGGGTGGACTTGGGTGGGGCAGGGGTGACCCAGGGGCAGCCCCTGGGGACACACCAAGAGTGCAGGCAGGTTGTGGGGACCAGGGTCAGCTCTCCATCACAGGGCAGCAAACTAAGACCCAGAGAAGCTGAGAGACGGCCGATCCCCCACACAGCAAACCCCAGGAGCTGAGAGACGGCCGATCCCCCCACACAGCACACCCCAGGAGCAGGTCTGGGAGGGCCTCAGAGGCCACAGAGCACCCACTGCCCGAGTGGGCTCAGGACCCGCCGGGGACCTCTATACACACAGGAAGGGGCCTGTGTCCGTCCCTGAAGCCCTCACTCTGCCAAGCTCCCATGTGGCCAAACCCCCTGCAGCAGACTGGATCCGAGGGAATGTCCCCCAAGGGTTAGTGTTGAAACTCAGCCCCTCTGGGGGTAGAGCACAGAAAGAATCTGACCACAGTGGTTAGACTGGGCCTTCAGGGGTGATGGGTTACATCAGGCCATGGACAGAGCCCCAGACTGACCCCTGGAGGCTTTATAATGTTCCAGAACACACACATGTATCTCCTATCTCTTGTCACATGAGGGGCCACGTGGGGACTCCACCAGTAAGAAGGCCATCACCAGAAGCACCCCCTTGACTGCAGACCAGAACCATGAACCAAAATAAACCTTTTTCCTCTAAAGTTACCCAGCCTCAGATRTTGCATTATAGTAACAGGATGGATTAAAACCCTCATATTCAACTGTAAAAAGGTGTGCACACTGACCTACTGAGGCAGRAACACTGGAGGGGTGTCCTTGTAAACAGAGGACCCGGGCTTGTCCTGTAGGGCTTCCCCATCAGCTCTGTGGTGCCCATCATGCTGGAGATCCTGTGAATCTGCCTGATCTACAGCTGGGACACCTAGGCCTGAGTGCTCTTACCTGTCCCTTCCTCTGGTGAGGCCATCCCAACCCCTTCCCTGTCCTCACTCCTCCACTGGGTCAGGAGCCAATTCCAGGCCCAAGGCTGCTCAGGCTCCACCCCTGGCCACCAGAAGCCCAGGGTTTTCAGCCTGCCTTCAAAAATGTCCCCTGCTCCGCCTCCTTGGACACGCTCCCAGCCCACTGCGGACCAATGTTCCCACTGCAGTGCTCCATACTTGCAGATAACAGGTGCCATGTCTTCTGCCGGGTCCCGCCCGGTTTCCAGTGAACCACGCCCAGCCCACTGAGGGTGGAGAGGGCCCGGTAGACGGGGCAGGTCAGAGACGGCAGAACCGCCAGACAGGAGGGTTGTGGCTGGAGGGAGCTGTGCCCTTTCCCCACAGGCCAGGGCAACAAGCAGGTGCCGGAGAAACAGGGCCTGGCCCTGTCCTGGCTTTCCCCGGCAGGAGGCTGCTGTCCAGCAGTGCAGGCAGAGGGGCAGTGGCTTCCTACCCCTGGGCACACCCGTGGGAGGCAGCATTCACTCTGTCCAGGGTCTGTGCCTGAGGGCTTGGCAGCAGAGGCTGCTGCCTTGGAGAAGGGACCCCCAAATGCAAGGCAGTGGCTGGGCCTGGCGGGGTGCCTCCCTGTGCTCCGTCCCCTTGGCTCCCCAGTGCAGTCTGCCCACCAGGGACCTGGCACTGCCTTCTATCAGGTCATCAGGGCACAGGGGTGCCTGTCCCACACTGCAGTGTCCCAGGACAGGGCCTGCGGGTTCAGCATCTGCTGAGGGTGGAGTGGGTGAGCCCCTGGGCCAGGCTTTGAACCTGGACAGGCAGCTTCCCATGCAGCCCTGCAGCCCATGAGGTGGGGCCTGCAGGACCCAGGGATRGATGACGGAGCCAGCGAATGCCGTGGGTCACGGCAAGGAAAGGCAGGAGGGGACCCTGAGGTCCTGYGGGACCTATGTCCGGGCCTTTCCCCAGGAGGTTGGCAGAGCCTCTTGGCAGAAGCCAGTTTCCAGGCCTGGGGGGAGGGGAGGGGAGGCCCGAGCCGCTGCCCACCCCAGGGTGGTCTCAGGAGAACAGCCTGACGAGGACCTCGCTGCCCTTCGGGGACACCCATTCCCATCCCTCCACTCAGGGCAGGCAGGACGTGGAGCCCAGGGCAGGGTGCACAGATGGGACGCCGATCCGACAAATTTCCTTAGAAATATGGATTAGGTCTGGACCTCCCTCGTCCTGGCCCTGTGTGCCTCCCAGAGGCCGAGCACAAGGCCTGCGGCGTCTCACTGCGGCGTCTCACTGTGGCCTTTCCCAGGGGCTGAACAGGTTCACCCGAGGCTGGTTAGGGAGCAGGGTTCCCGGCACCAGGCCCGGGGCTTTCCACGCACATCCGCCAACCCCGGGGCACCCAGAGCCCGCAGCTGTCCTGCTCGCCCGCCTCGGGAAGGAACCTGGAGCTGCAGAGCATTCCACGCTCAGTCAATTCCTACAAACGTCAGGGCTCAGTCTGGTGGCTTCGGGGACCTGGCTCCTCCCCACACCCATCACCTGCAGGGCAGCGGCACTACCCACCACAGTGGCTCCCTGCCCCACAGAACTGGGCCCTGGGAGGAGGCTCCCGCCCCCACCCTTGCTGAGCAGGCGCCCCGGGAGGCCTGGGCTGCTGAGGGAGGCTTGCTCCCTCTCCGTCCAGATGCCAGGGCTGGCCTGTTCCACCCTGACCCTTCCTGGAGGCCCTGGTGTGGGCAGCGGGGGTTATCTGCCACCCGCCAAGCACCCCGCAAACATACAGAAGGTGTGGAACCTGAATGTTGGACAGACCCAAACTTGAACAAAATGCAGACGCCTGACCTCGTGAGATCACACTGAGAGATCTCCCCGGGAGCGGGGAGGAGGCTGAGGCCACGGCCAAGCGCTTGGACAGAAGACGGGTTCCCAGCCCCGGATAATTCTGAGCCAGACCAGCTCCCCTCTAGGACCAGCAGTGGCTGCCTCCTTCAGCAAGCCTGCCCCAGGTGACCCAGGGCRAGGGAGGAGGGCCCCTGCTCAGGCCTGTGCAGGCTGTGCCCCTCCTTGGCCACCTCTGTCGTTGACCCTGGGCAAGGGTCTGCCTCACCCAGCTCCACAYACATGTATCGCCTTTAGAAAGATGTGCTCACCTAGGTAGGTGCCTCCCTGTGCTGCCCCAGGGAGCAGGCCACGGCCCCACGGCCCCAGGGGGCCCCTTCCAGGCCAGCTGGCCCTCAGCTAGTTACCTGGTGCCCAGTCAGGCCCATCTGGACTGGCTCACCACCATGACCTGATAAGGACAACCTCCAAAAGTTTTGGCTGTGCCYGCCCAGCCCTAGGGCTCTGTCCAGGGAGCGGCCAGTATTTTCTGGGCTGTACAGCTTAAAGGCTCAAATGTTCATGGCTTCAAAACAGCTGACCTACTAAGGACCACCATGAAGGTCTGAGCACCATCCCAGAGGCCCAGAAGGTGAGACTCTGCAGACCTGCCTGTGGAACACCTGCCTTCTCCTTAGATAAAGCCTGGATGGGACCTTGGAGGCCATCTTAGGCCTTCCTGAGCCCCTGCCCTGGACCAGTGAGGGGCAAGGCCTGGAGTCCAGGAGCAGGAGCTACAGCCTCTGGGGCCTCCGGGGGCACTGGAGCCAGCCCCGCCCAGGGACGCAGGGGTCTCCACGGACTCACTGCCACTTCCAAGAGGGAAGGCCCGGCCACAGGCAGGGCAGAAGGCTGCAGTGCGTCCCTCCTGCAGCCCTCTGAGGTCTGGCCAGGCAAGGGGCTCAGGCAGCCGCAGAGCGTGCTGGGATGTGAGCTGCCTGTGACTGGGTCCCTCTGCCCCAGACCCTGTGTTCTTGGCTCTGCCTGCTATGGCCCTGGTAGGTAGTGGCTGGCCCATGCAGCTGGGGCAGCCCAAGGCAGCCTGGCCTGCATGCAGGAGACCCCTGTGCCCACTCCGGCCAGGCTGGGGTGTCAGCACAGGGTGGGCAAGGCTGTGAGGGTGGAGGGGCCAGCCAGCATCTAGGAGGCAGGAACTACCAAGCAGCCACAATTAAGAAGGGAGGGAGCACTCAGCCAGGGGGTGGGTAGCAGAAATAAAAAATAAAAAAACAGAACCATATTCCAAGGAAATAAAGTAATAAAGAGGGAGAAACAGGAGGAAACGGTGAGCAAGTTTATAAGAATCAAAAAGCTGGAAATTAAATGTTCAGGGTCGTGTGGGCGGTCAGGGAAGGAGGCAGGGGAGAGGAGCCAGGGACATGGATGATACCTAGGAATGTCCGAATCAAGAAACTGCCTGCAAAACACAAACAGTCAGAGGTTAGTGAGGGTCGTGGGGAGCGGGCCAGCAGCGGGGCAGCAGCAAGGGCAGCAGGGAGCCACCTGGGGTGGTGGGCCCACTCTGAGCCAAGGCGGCTGCAAAGCATGGGTCCTGGGAGCGGGGGGCGGGGAGGCTGAGGCCATGGCCAAGCGCTTGGGCAGCCCGAGGCCCTGGGCCTGGCTGGKACTGCCCACGATCGTGGGGTCCATCCTCAGCCATCCAGACACACAAGCCCTGACCATGCAGGCCTTGAGGAGGGAGTCACAGGCTGTGCCTGCCCGGGGCCACCAGCCGGAAGAGTCCTCCTCGGGTTGGGGTGCCAGGGGAGCACCAGCAGGCGGGAGCCAAGCAAGGGGAAGCGTCTGGCCAGTCTACACTCCCCCTGGACAGGCCTTCCTGCCTCCTGGGACCCAGGGCTGGGCCCACCCTAGCTCCTCAGCCCCCGGGAACATGGCTGAAGCTCTTCAGTGGCATGTTCCTGGACCCCAGGAGCGGGGAGAGCTGTGTGGCCAAAGCCCCACCTGCCTGAGGTCCAGCAGCCACCTCCGACATCACCCTCAGCTTAGCCAGGGCCACGGCCACCCAAGGGACCCCTCAGCAGCCAGGCTGGCCAGAGGAGGACAGAAGACCCTGGAAATCTAGCCCTCAGCAAGGAGACAGTGTGGGGGAGGAAGACACCCCACCCACATCTCCCCCATCACCTCTCATCCTGTGTCAGGGAGGGTCAGAGGCTGGGGGAATGAGTCCTCTTCCAGGACCCAAGCAGACAGGCCCTCTGGACCCCACCCTTCCCTCTGGTCCTGGTCCACTGAGACAGGAGCGGTGGCCCACACCCCAAGGGCAGCACCCACACGGGGAGAGATGGCCTTTTCCATGCCACCCTCGTGGTGACAGGAAACCTGAGGTCAGAGGGAGAGCCAGGCCCTGACCACCCTACTGTCCGCCTCCCCTCCCCTCCCAGATATGACTCCCAGCCTGCCCACCCCGTGCCATCTGCAGGAGGGACCGTCCAGCCCTCTCCACCCCCTGGACAGGAGGGAGGTGAGTTCTGTAAGAATGAGGGTCCAAGCCACATCTGCACGTCCAGGTCTCTGCCTCCACCCAGTCACCCTGTCCACTGTCCCCACTGCTCTCTGATGCTGCTCTGCCCAGCCCTGGCTTCACCTGAGGCCGCCCAGGTTTCTCCTGGTGCCGAGGGGTGACCCGTCTCTGGCCTAGCCCTGGGGTATCTCTGAAAAGGCAGCACTGTTTGGACCCGAGCGTGGGAGAGCAGGGGGTTCTCCCGCAGGGCCCTGTCCTACGGCCTGCCTTCCCTGGCAGAGTCGCGGCCCCTCCCCCTCCCCAAGCACACCCACCCCTCTAAGAGGCTCTTCCTACAAACAGCCCCAGCCYGGGCTCCAAGGGCGACCTCAGGCCAGGTGCAGTGCGCAGGGCACAGCCTGGCTGGGGCTCGGAGCCCCTACCAAGCCTCCCCAGACCTCTGGAAAGCGGCTCTCAGACAGCACACTGGCTGGCACTGCTCACCAGGAGGGTGACTCCACATCCCTGACCCCAGTCGGCCTCAAATGCCGTCTTTCTCACGTCCCACCCACCCTGCCAAACCTCGCAGGCCAGCCAGGTGTCCCTGAGACCTGGATGGCCCTCCACTGCCCTCACACCAGGGCTGCACCCACCCAGGGTGCACGACAAGAGCAGGTGACAAGCAGAACCCACCAGCTCCAGGACCCTATCCCCAGGGCCCAACAGGCTCTAGACGGCCCACCATGGGATGAATCCTGGGAGCAGGACCTGCTTGTCCACCCACTGTCCCAGCCACTGCCCCACCTGCCACGGAACTCCTGGGGACAAGACCCGGCTCCTACTCCAAGCCTATGCTGGCCCCTCTGCCAGGTGTCACGGTGGCATGATCCAGGGTGGAGGTCGCATAATAGGCCACCAGCCTCCACTCGGGCACCTGTCCCATCGATGGCAGAAAGTAGGGTGGGAAGGCTCTGGGGCCAGACGCATGGTGGCTGGGTCAGCAGAGGCCATGGGGCTGGGTGCTGGCCRCCACTCCTCAGGGACTCACCGGTCATCCTGGGCTGGGTGGACATATCCAGACGAGAGGATGTTGAGGGACAGGATGTTGGGGTCGATCAGGGACTCGTCAGTCTCTGGAGTGTTTCGGATGCGACCTGCGGGCCAGGTCATTGAGAGGTGTCACTTCCCAGGAGGCTGGCAGGGGTGTAGGGTGGAGGTGCAGGACACGGGTGCAGGACAGGAGCCCAGTTAATGAACAGCCATCCACAGGCTGTGGAAAGGGCAGCAGGCAGGTGGCAGGCGAGGCCCTGGCCAGCTGCTTCTCCAGGTGTCCCTTGCAGGCCATGTTCTGTTCCTGTTTCTGAAGGTTCTGCCGGCCCAGCTGGAAGGCACAGCCTTGTACCTGCTGGAAGGAGCTGACCAAGAGATGGTCCTGCTTCCTTTAACAGCTGTCTGCCCGGCTAGTGACGTCTGCTCTGGAAGGGGTGAACCAGCGAGAGGGAGCGGGCCTCTTCCCTCCGCCACCCCAGACATGGCCAGGATGTCTGCACGCTGGGCCACCCTGCCTGGCTGCTCTGACCTAAGCTTTGCAGCATCTGGGTTCTGGGAAGAGGGGGTGTGGGCCCTCCTCATGCCAGGGCCCTCCAGGACTTGGGGTACCGATGACAGGGAGGGGCTCAGTGCAGGTCCCAGACAGGACCTCAGCACTGGGGACAGCAGAGCTCTCGTCTGCAGGGAGTCTGGTGAGCACCTCTGGTCAGGACAGGGACACTGGTGGGGCCTGGCCTGGGGTCCTGCTCCTAGTCAACAGCCCTCCAATACTCCCCAGCCCTCAGGAGCCACCCACCCAGGGCTCAGCACTGCCCAGGATGTCTCCTGTCCCTCACCCCTTTGGGGAGCCCCTCCCAGCCTATGGGGAAGGACCTAGGGTGGGGGAAGGCTGTGAAGGGGGCCAAGGGCCTGGACAGCAGTCAACTGCTCCAGAAAGCAAGTGGGCTGTGAGCCCCATGTCCAGTCAAGTGTGGGAGACCAACCTCACCCGTGACTGAGTCGCACTCCCTGGCTGGGTGCTGAGGCGCTCAGTCACAGAAATGTGGCAGAGCTTTCCCGACCCTTCTTGGGTGCRAGGGTCGGTGTCTCGCGCCTGGGTGTGAAGCTACGCTCACCGTTCCTTTGTAATATCACCCCTGGCCCTGTTTAGGATACAATCTTCCGTGGAAGTGCCTTGTGTGCGTTCCCTTCTCTAACTGTGCCCTTGGGTGTGGCCTACCCAGGTGTCAGTCAACCTGCTGACAGTGGACATCATGAAGACAGCCCCCTGAAACCTGACCCCTGGCCTCATTTGAATAGCTTCTTCTCAATAAAAGGGGTCAGCACGTGCTCTCGCCCTCTCTCTCTTCCTGCAGTCCCTTAAGGTCAGAGGAGCCGTCACAGTGACCCCCCCAAAAAAGGCATTTGTGTCTCTGGTGGAGTTATTCTGTGCAGCCCAGCCAGCCCCGTTTACCTGGAGTGACCCTAGCCTTTTAGACTCGAGAACTGAAACCTGGCAGTCAAGGCTGCTGGTTCAGGAAKCCCAGAGGCAGCACCCAGTGCTCATCCTAGACTGGGGGATGTCCCCTGTCCCCTTTCCTTCCTTCCCTTCCACATAAGGGACATCAGTGTCCACATTGTAAGAAAGGGAGGAAGATGGATCATGGGGTCGGCTCAGGGTGAGCTGGAGGGACCTGGGCAACCACAGACCCCAAGGCCCATGAGGATACAGCTGTGTCAGACCCCCGCCCCCCGGGTGCAGACAGTGGGCACAGGTGTCGGCATCTGCCCCCGGGGTGGCGAGGTTCAAGGCCAGCTGTGTTGGATCTTTGCCTTGGAACTGATTCCCTCTTGGGATCTGGCCACATGGGAGGGTTTGTGCACTGACTTCATGCTTTCTCTGTGTGAAACAGACACAGAGCTTGCAAAACCAGCCTCTCCTGGTGCCCCAGGRGCCTCCCTGTCCTGACTCTAGGACGAAGAGCCGTGGGTGCACCCAGGGATAGGGCCCCTGAGCCCCCTCCCTGCCTGGCCATCGAAAGGCCAGGACCACAGCAGTGCTCCCAGAGGGGCCCCTACACCCCAAGGCAGAGGTGGGGCCCACTTTGGCCCCACGCTGAGATGGACACCTGTCTGTGCCCCAGTGAAAAGGGAGCGGCGGATCCCGCACAGCTGAGAAAGGAAACCTCTGACAGAGACAAGTGCGTTCCAGCCCTCCTGGGCCAGACTGCCCCCCGGGTGCAGGGGGTGCAGAGGCCCCACAGTGGTGGGCCCTGATGTCCATGGCCAGCATGCTYGGGGTCACCTGCCAGAGGACAGCTGCCTGCCTGGAGGACTCTGTGGAGGGCCGTGCAGCAGGGGCTCTCCCCCAGCCAAGGACGGGCCCTGCCACCCACCGTCAGGTGAGGCTTCCCACTGGCCTGGACCTGGGCCTTCTGGCCTCCAGAGCAGGGGATTTCTGTGGCACTTTGTGCCAACAGCCCCAGAAYACTGACTCGGATTAAGCAGGAATTTGGGAATCACCCCCCAGGTCCCAGGCTCTCCTTTTTGGCTTAGGGACTGASGCACAGAGAGGTTTCGGGACTGAGCCAGGCCACACAGCACACTGGCAGGCCAGCCCAGCCCTGAGGCAGCCCCACGTCCTGCTCACCCACGACCAGCTCGCGCACTTCCTTCCAGCGGATGTGGCTGCCCGTCTCATGCAGCAGCGTCACAGTTATCCGCCTCTGGATGCCCTGTGGGGCACAGGAGTGGGGACAGTCAGACCCCCAGGGTCATGGGGGGCAGGGAGGACGGGGCACACTCYGGGGGCAGGCAGGGCTTCACACCTGGTGGAGGAGGAAGGTCCCCATGCAGGGCATGCCGCCACGGTGGTCCACCACAGCAGGGATGTAGCTGGAAGAGAAGAGGGTGAGATGCTGGCTCCTCYCAGCCCTGACCCTGGTCCCAGAGAGAGCAGGCACGGGCACAGGAAGACATCAGCTGCCTCCAAGACAGAAACACCCCGCCGGAGGACAGGGTCAGCTGGGCACCAGAGCCAGGCCACACCTCCTGGACCATCACCCCCAAGCCCTGCCCACAGCAGGGAGGTGTCCAGTCCCTGAACTGCCCGGGTAAAGTTGCAGCAGGGGTCCCGTCGCCTGCAGCACAGAGCCCAAGCCAGCTCGGCCTCCCCACCCTTGGCCCCTTCTRGGCCACCAGCCACACCAGGCAGCCACGGCCCCTGCACTGTGGCCTGAACCCGGCTCCCCTGTGCCTCTTCAGGTCTTCCTTTCAGTGTCCCCCAATCATGTGTGACAACCCTCCAGGCCTGCCACCTCCAGCCCCAGCCCCGACTCCAGCCCTGGGCCCTGGACCTGGCGCTCAGCCCAGCCGCCAGATTGTCCGTCAGCCCCACCACTCAGCGGGGGTGTCTGCTCCTTCCCCAGCACCTAGGAGGCCCCCCAGACCGGACACCTRCTGAACCCTGCTGAGAGGACCCCTGGACGGTGGGAACCAAGAGGCTCCAGGCCTGGCCCCTCCCTCTGCCCCCCGTGAGGCCCTGTCCCTGACCCCAGCGTGGGCCCCRGGGCCGTACTCACTCCCCGTTGGCCTCCAGCTCGCAGATCTCAAAGTAGACCAGCAGGTCGTACTTGCAGTGGCAGGGGCCCGGGCAGGGCCGTGTCATCGTGCTGAGCTTGGTGGCAGGCACTGGGGACAGGAGGACACACACTGAAGGATACCTGACCTGCTACAGGGCGAGGGCACACTGGGGTGTCCACCAAGGTGGCTCCTGGAGAGAAAAGCCCGGCAGCCAACCTGGCACAGCACACATCTGTGTGCTGCCTGGACCGTCCACTGGACCTGTTGCCCAACAGGCCCTGTCCTCAGTCCCCACGAGCCCCTCCCTTGTGTCCAGCTCCTGATAGCTTCCGTCCCCCAGTGGACCCCTCACAGAGGCCCTTCCTCTGTCAATTCCCATCTGAGCCCTGGCTGGTTCACCTAACAGCTGTGGATCCAGATGTTGTCCAGAGACCACGGGGAGACAGTGGCCAAGGAGCAAGAGCTGGAACCAACCGCAAGGCCCGCTGGCACAYGGTGCAGGGTCAGCAGTCCACAGCACCCCGCCCGCAAGACCCCGCCTCCCAGCAGAGGGCCCTGTTGGCACCCACAGCTGGGGCACCTGCCCCGGTGAACCAGGCGAGTCCCACCTACCTGGCTTGGACAGTGGCATGACCCGGGGGAAGTGTCTGCGGGAGGGCCTCAGGGGGCTGTGGAGAGAGAGGGCCTTAGGGAGGGGACGTGGCAGGCTGGAGCTTGCAGGACGCTGGCTGGAGCCAGCAGCCTGGCCGTGGCCGGCTGCTAACCTCAGTCTGTCCCTGCCTCCCTGTCTCCCACCAGGGGAGAAGAGGCCTGATCTCATGCCCTGGACCTGTGTGGACGGGAGACAGGGCCCCCCACCCAGGGCTCCAGGCTCTGCCCAGAGGCCCCACAAGGCCACAGAGAACCAGGAGGGTGGAACTCTGGGGTCCCCAGGCCCGAGGCTCCAGGACAAATGATCCCAGAAGGCTACAGAGCAGACGGGGCTCCAGGCAATGCCCGCCACCGCCCCCCTCTTCCCTTGGCCCAGCTCTGGTCCTGCTCCACTGTGGAGGGGGAGATGGAGCTGGTGACGATCTGGGCACCGAGGCTGATGACTGTGGTCCCACACTGAGTACCTGGGAGGCTCAGCCTGGCCCCGAGGGCTCCATCCCACCCTCTGGGGCCCAGGGTGAGGGGGACCCCCACTCCAGGGCCCAGGTGAGATGGACCTGGCTGTCTCTTTCTGAGCCCCTGGGAGGCTACATGGGGTGAGGGGGTGGACAGACATCCCCAGAGAGAACAGCTGGACAGCCAGCACCCCGACACTACCCGTGCTCAGCGGGAGGCCCCTGCTCAGTTCTAAGAGAGAAGCCAGACCGAGCGCAGAGCTCTGGCTGAGTCCTGAGTCCTGGAGGCCCCAGGTGAGTGGCCTCCGGCAGGCGGAGGGGCCTCAGAGGCAGGCGGGCTCTGCAGCCTGAGACTGCTGGACAAGGAGGTGCAGGCCGTGACTGGGGAGGCGGCCTGCCCTGTGACCCTGGCAGCTGACCTGAGCACATCCTTGCAGAGCGGCGGGAATGGGTGCTGCTGGTAGTGGCCAAAGACCTCGAACACGATGGGCTGGCTCCGGATGTACTCAATGAAGGACTTGGTCACCTCCACTGCGATCTGGACATCAGAGAGCGTTCAGTCTCCAGGCAGACCCAGCCTCTAAGGGACACTACCAGCCCACCTTCGCCCTCTGGGGGACAACACTCCCCGGCAGACCCTGCCACGAGGCCTCTCCTCCCAAGAGACATCCAGGCCAGAAACCAGGGGCAGCCCACTTCCCCAGGGCATCCGGGGCCAACCGCTGGGCTGCCTTTCAGAACACGGAGCCCGAGAAGGAGACCAGGGCTCTCCTGCTAGCCTTGCCCTTGCCCACTCACTAAATTATGGGGTGAACTTGCACCCCCAAATCCTTCCCTTAAGTCCTGACCCCAGGGCCGTGGAAGACAGCTGTTTAGATACATGACCGAGAAAGTGAGGTCACAGAGTGTGCCTCATCCAGTGTCCAGTGTGGCTGGGGCCTGAACCCCRACGCAGGGAGGAGCCCCAGGAAGGAGCCGCCCTGCAGCCACCTGATGGGAGGAAGCAGCCCCCGAACCAGGCTCGCTGCTCAGAGCCGCGTCACAGYGGCCAGCGGTGAACACTCCTCCGCCTGTCCTTAGATCCTGCTCTCACTGTCACCAGGCCAGCACTCTCCTCCCCACCTCTCAGCCTTGCTGGACTCCCGGGCCTCTCAGGACGGTGCTCAGGCATCCTCTGGCCCTCCTCAGGCCCAGCCTCCACCCTGACCCTGCACCCAGGGTGCCCTCGGACAATCCCAGCCAGGACCTCACTTGACCCTCTGTGCCATGTCTGCCCTTTGGGGACACACAGCCTGCTGCCCTGAGTAGGCCCACCCCCACATGGCCTGGCGGCCCGTGCTCCTGCCAGGCAGCGTCCTGCTCAAGCCGCTCAGAGCAGACCGGGGCAAGCAGGTGAGGGCGGAGGGCTYAGACGTACGTTCTGGACGTGGTAGAAACCGAGGGGGGGGCCCCTGCCCGTGTTCTTCAGGGGCTCCGTGGAGAAGGCCTCATCATGGCGGTGGATGAAGCTGCAGGTGGGAGGATGTACTTGGTGGGGGGACGTGGGGCAGGGACCACAGGCCTCTCTGCGGGTCACATGTCCTGGCCTTCACAGCCCCCCAAACCTGTGTCTGACTTTATGCCCCAGACTGACAGCCTCCTCAGAGTACCTCTCCTGA